CCCGGGGAGGCTGTGGCTGCCCCATCCCTGGCAGTGTTGAAGGGCAGGTTGGATGGGGCTTGGAGCAGCCTGGGCAGGTGGGAGGTGTCCCTGCCCACGCAGGGGGTTTGATCTAGATGATCTTGAAGGTCCCTTCCCACCCAAACCAGTCTAGGATTCTATGATGACCACACCAGCCAGCTCTTCCTTTCTGCCCCTCTCCCAGGTCTCTCCCCCTCCCAGCTCCCAACCTATTCCTCACTCCTGGTTTTGTGTGCACAGAATCCCAATGTCTGGGCTCAGAAGGGACACCTCTGCTACCTGAGGGAGGACTTTGCTGAGGCCAAGCTGTGCTATGAGCAGACCCTGAGCTTCCTGGAGGATGCTGTGGACATGCACTGGGTCTGCCTGCGCCTGGGCTCCATCTACCTGCGGGACAAACAGGTGAGGAGCCCCTGGGAGGGAACTTGACCTCAAGTAGTACATGGCAGCCCTTGGGTCCAGGATGTCATTATCTGTAGCTGGGATGGGTTGGGAGGGACCTCCAAGATCAGTGTTGGATGCAGAGGGAATCACCATCACCTCTCTCCTGCAGTACAAACAGGCCAAGCAGACCTACCTGCTCGCCTGCAAGGACTCAGCCTCCTGTCTCACCTGGCTGGGGGTGGGCATCTCCTGCTACAGGGTAAGTGCATGGCCCTCCAGGTCCTCTGGGCTTCAGCTGCCTCTGTGGGCTGGGATGCAGAGCTTGCTTTGGCATGATCACAGAATCATGGAATGGTTTGGGTTGGAAGAGACCTTGAAGACCATCTAGATCCACCCCCCTGCATGGGCAGGGACACCTCCCACCAGCCCAGGTTGCTCCAAGCCCCATCCAACCTGCCCTTCAACACTGCCAGGGATGGGGCAGCCACAGCTTCCCTATTCCAGTGTCTCACCACCCTCACAGGGAAGACTTGCCCTTTCCCAGGGAAAAGCTTGGCTGCTTGTGAAACCAGTGCCTCCTGGTGACCTCCCATCACAGCCCAGCGTGGCACTGCTCACCTAGGAGATGTCAGTTCCCTTCAGCAGCTGCTCTGGGAGCAGAAATCCCTCCCCACCCCCCCCCCCTGCCAGCACCTCCTTCCCCAGGATGTCATGGCAAGCACAGAATCTCTGCTCCCAGTGCCTGCCTGCACACGACCTGCATGTCACCACCAGGGAATGGAGCAGGATGCCAGCAGACAGGAATCTTGGGGCTTTCCCTGCCCAAAGGGATCCAGCTCCTCTGAAGGGCTGCCAAGGACACCCACCCCAGCCACCAGCAGCGTGGTGTCTCCTGGAGCTACACCTTACAAGGTGCCTCCAGGGAGTTTGGCTGAGGGAAGCAAACAGGGAAGGAACTTGGAGCTTGTGTTTCCCCCTTGGCCAAGTGCAGAGCTCCAGGAAGGCTGTGGAGCTAAGCCAGGGAGCTGAGTGGTGGCCCAGGAGCTGCCTGAAGCTGCCAGGGAGCCACCCTGCCATGGGAATAGGGGCTGGGGACCCCAGGTGTGTGGCCCTGGGGGGCTGGACCACTCGGTCCCCAGAGGTGAAGGTTCTCACAGCTGGTCTGTGGACACAGGGGGTGTTCCCAGGGGGTCAGCAGTGAGACTCTTGTCCTGCAGCCTGTGGAGTGGGATGCTGACCCTGGGATAACTGCCTGTCCCTGTCCTAAATCCTCTCCCCACATCCCTGTGAGGGAAACCCTGCTAGATGCTCCTGTTGCACTGATTCCTTTGGCTGTTAGGAGCAGCTGCTGGGTGGGTTCTGAGGCCCCTCCTGCCTGTTCTTGGCCTTTCATCCCCACCTCTGCCCCTCTCTCTCAAGCTGCAGGAGCTGGCAGATGCAGAAGATGCTCTCACTGAAGCCAATGCCCTCAATAACACCAACGCTGAGGTGTGGGGCTACCTGGCCCTGGTCTGCCTGCAGGTGAGTGCCCACCCACCTCCCCCCA